CCCCGCGCCGCCCCGCGCCCCCGGGATGCCGCCCGCCGCGCCGCCGCCCCGCGCTGCCGCGGCGCCGGGCTGGCCGCCGGCGGCGGCCGCCGCCGCCTCGTGGCGGCGCAGCAGGTCTGCCAGCGGGGCGGGCAGCGCGCCGCGCTGCTGCTGCTGGCGAAGCACGTCGGCGATCGTGCCCGGCAGCTGGCCTGCGGCGGGGAGAGCGGCGCAGGGGTGCATGCCGGAGGGCCACGTGACTAGGCGGGCATGAGCTCGAGCAGCAGCAGCAGCAGCAGCAGTAGCAGCAGGGCCCGGGTGATGCGGCAGCGGGCCGGCCAGCTGGCTGCAGCCGGCCCGTCAGCAGCAGCAGCCCGGGAGCGAGCAGCAGCTCACCTGGTGCGCGGCGGCCGCGCTGGCGCAGCTGGGCGCCGGCAGGGATGAACTGCACCTGCGGCTCAGCGAGGACAAGCGGGCAGGGTGACGCGCAGCTGCCAACAGCCGGCTGGCCTGGGCTTGGGGCTGGCGGAGGCGGCAGGCTCTCGCTGCAGGCAGGCAGGCTGCAGTCGCTGGCAGGCAGCGCCCCCTACCTGCATGTGTGGCTGGTGGTACAGCGGGTACTGCACCATGGGCATCAGCAGCTGGCCGGGGGCCATGCCCTGCGCAGGCACAGCGCGGCACAACACAGTAACACAGTGAGCGCGGGGCTTGGCCAGCAAGGCAGCGCAGCACAAGCTCTGTGGGCCCCAGATTCAGCGGCACAGCAAGCCAGGCAGGACCGGGCCTGCGCTGCTGCTGCACTCACCAGTGCGGCGGCGGGTACCGCGGCCGCGGCGACGCCGCCCTCGCCGCCCTCCTGCTGCTGTCCCGCCCCTGCTGCTGACCCTGCCGCATGGTTGGCGGTGAGGTAGGCGGGCAGCGCGGGCTGGGGCACCGGGATGAGGGTGGGCACAAACGCGATTGCGGGCTGCTGGAAGACGGGGTGCGGCATGGGCAGGCTGATGGGCGCGGCCGCCTGCCCCGCCGCGCCGGCCGCCGTGGCCGCGGCGGCGCCGGGTGGCGCGTCGGTGGAGGAGGGCGCGGTGCCGCCACCTGCCGTAGCCCCGCCTCCCGCCTGCTCCTGGCCAGCCGCCGGCGCCGCGCCAGCCGCCGCCTGCTGCAGCACTTGCAGGGCGGCGGCGTAGGCAGCTGACATGGCTGGCGTGTAGATGGCATAGGCTGCCGCCGGGTTGGGGATGGCAGGAGCGTAGGTGAAGCCAGGCAGGGGCGCCGAAGCGGGCATGCCGGCAGATGTCGGGAAGCCGGCGGGAAGCCCCATGCCGGGGTAGCCACCTGGCATGCCCATGCCCATGCTCATGTAGGCATAGCCCGGCGGGGCAGCTGCTGCTGCAAAGCCCGCCGCCGGGGCGTCGTCGCTTGCGCCGTCGGCCGAATCGGCGGCAGAGGGAGGGGCCGCGGCCGCAGCCGCCGGCGCCGCCGCGGCCGCGGGCGCCGCTGCTGCAGCGGACGGTGCTGCAGGGGGCGCGGCAGGCGCCGCGGCGGCGCTGGTGGCGGCGCCGCTGCTGCCCGCGGGCTGATGCCGGCGCGGTGGAGGCGGCGCCGCGGCGCTGGCTGGCGCCGACTTGATGACAATGTGCAGCGACTGGGGGCAGGTGGGGTCCACGTTCTGCACAGCACAGCGCGTCATAGCAGCAAGTCAGGGCCTTGGAGGCGGGCCGCTCATGTTGGGAGGGGCAAACACGCGAGCTGGACATTGGCAGGTGAGTGAGGCAGCGCCAAATGCGGCTGCTGGCCTCACCGGCACCACAAAGTCGGAGAGGACAGCGCTGTCATCCTTCAGCACGCGCCCCGCGTAGATGGCCTGCACACGGGAGAGGTGCTGCCAGCGGGCTCGGCACCGTGAAGTATGCCACAAGCAGAAGGCGAGGGACGGGAGGACCCCCCGAGAACGCCGCTTCGCCGCCCCAGGGGACTGCACTGCGCTGGGCGCGCTCCCGCCGTCTCCAGCGCGCCCATTGGTGCTGGTCTGGACGGTCAGGGGCGAGCAGGGCGGCCAGGCCTCACCGTGATGGACGCGGGCTCTGGCTTGCCGGGGTAGCTCTGCTGCAGCCGGCGCTTGACTTCCCCAACCGTGGCGGATGCCGGCACCCGCAGCTTGAAGTCCCCCAGCGCTGGGCGCGAGGGGCATTTCACGCTGAAATCGATCGACTCGGACATTTGTGCTGCAGCGCCCCCAGAATGCGGCTCGGGGCAGCGATCTACTGCCCTGCGATCGGTCTGTGTGTGGACGGGGGCAGGCGAACAAGGCCAGCGGAATGAGGTGGCACGCGCATGAACTCTCATCACAGGGCAGCAGACCTCTTTCTCCTCGATCGTCGAGCACCACGGCTATTGCTGATTTGCTGAGGGCCTGAGGGGACCGCACCTGCCGACCCAGATCGACTCGAGCTTCATCGGGGGAGCCAGGGGCTGTGCGATCGAAGGCCTGGTGACTGCATACGATGGTGCTCAACGTACGTCAGCGCCAAGCAGGTGGGTCGCCGATCGAGCAAAACGGGGGCTGGTCGCAGCTGCTGCCCTGGCCTCACGAAGGCATAGGGGGTTGCTGAGCGCCGCACACGCGCCCCTGGCCCACCGCAGACGCCGTGGTGCGCATGCTGCACTTCAACGCGCCGCCCGCCGCCGTCAAGCCGTCTGCGGCGGGCGACGAGGACGTGTACAAGGTGCTGGTGCTGGACCGCTGGACCAAGGACATCCTGGCGCCGCTGCTGCACGTCAACGAGCTGCGCAAGCACGGCGTCACGCTGCACCTCATGCTGGACACCGAGCGGCAGCCCATCCCCGACGTCCCCGCCGTCTACTTTGTGCAGCCCAGCGAGGCCTCGGTGGCTCGCATCGTGGAGGACGTGCAGCGCGGGCTGTACGACGCCTTCCACCTCAACTTCTCCACCCACATACCGCGCCCGCTCATGGAGAAGCTGGCGGCGGGGGTGGTGGCAGGCAACGCCGCCGCCCGCGTGGCGCGCGTGTACGACCAGCACAACCGCTTCCTCACCCTCGAGCCCTCCCTCTTCACCCTGGGCCTGCCAGACACCTACCTGCAGGTGGGTGGGTGGGTGGGCGGTGACAGGGGGGGCAAGTGCACCTGGCGGCGGTGGCAGTGGTGGCGACGCTGCCTCCCTAGCCGCAGTGAGAGGCCTCCACCAACACACGCATGCCCCCGCTCCCCCATCCCGCGCCCCCGCAGCTCAACGACCCCGCCGCGCAGGACAGCCAGATCGAGGCGGCGGTGTCTGCGGTGGTGGACGGCCTGTTCTGCGTGCTGGCCACGCTGGGCGTGGTGCCCATCATGCGCTGCCCCAAGGGAGGCGCCGCCGAGCACGTGGCGGCGGCCCTGGACGCCAAGCTGCGAGACGCGCTGGCGGGGCGCACCTCGCTCTTCTCCGAGGCCGGCGCGGGGCTGGCCGCCTCGCTGCACCGCCCGCTGCTCTGCCTGTTCGACCGCAACTTTGAGCTGAGCGTGGTGCTGCAGCACGCGTGGACGTACAAGCCGCTGGTGCGCCGCGCCACGCTGCGCATGCTGTGCACGCTGCGCTGTGCACGCTGCGCTGCGCACGGAGACGCGTCGCGCTGCTCCTGTTTGGCGCCCTGCCTGCCGCTTGGCCGCACCTCATGCTTTCCCTGCCCTGCCCGCCGCCGCAGGTCCACGACGTGCTGTCCATGCATCTCAACCGCGTGACGCTGCACGACGCGCCCGCGCCTGGGCAGCCCGGCAGCGGCAAGAAGAACTACGAGGTGGACGACGGTGGGTGGCTGCTGGAGGCGCACGCGCAGCATGCCGCGGAGCCGGGCTGCCATGCCGCCACCCATGCACGCCCGCCGTGGCCCGACGTCCTTGCCCTGTGCCTACGCCATGCGGCCGCCACCCCCCCCCACTCCCTCGCTCCTGCAGCCGACTTCTTCTGGAGCGGTCACGGCAAGGAGCAGTTCCCAATGATTGCGGAGCAGGTGGAGGCGGAGCTGAGCAAGTACAAGCAGGTGGGTGGGGCCTGGGGTGCTGGGGCGAGGTGGGGGTGTGGCGGCGGGCGGGGTGGCGGCGTGGGAGCGGCTCGCGGCAAGCAGCCTGTCCAGCTGTCGGGGCGCCAGGCTCCCGGCATGCACCGAGCCGATGCCCTCCACCGCCGCGCTGCTCACCATTTGACCCCACCCAGCAGCCCACCCACGCTTGCCTGCCTCCCAGCCCGCTGTGACCCTAGCCCTCACCCACCCGCCTGCTGCAGGCGATCGAGGAGCTGAACCGCAAGACTGGCAGCCACATCGACCCGCTGGCGGACCCAAACGACATCATGAAGAACAACACCCGCAGCCTCATGTCGGCGGTCAGCAGCCTGCCGGAGCTGACGGGTGCGGCCGTGTGTGTGTGTGTGTGTGTGTGTGTGTGTGTGTGTGTGTTTATTGGTTGGGGGGTGCGGCTGCTGCCGCGTTGCGCGTAGGCCGGCCAGCCTCCGAGCGGGCGCACCCCCGCCACCTGTGCCCCTGCCAGCCCTTGGCCTCGCCCCACCTGCCCCCCACACCCGTGCCCCCCCTTCCTTCCCCGGCCCCTGCCCCCTGCCGCAGAGAGGAAGCGCGTGATCGACAAGCACACCAACCTGGCCACCGCGCTGCTGGGCGCCATCAAGTCGCGCCAGCTGGACGCCTTCTATGCTCTGGAGGAGGAATGCATCGCTGGCAAGGCTGACGTGGCGGCGGTGGCGCGCCAGATGGGCAGCCCCGCAGGCACCCCCACCGACAAGCTGCGCCTGGCGCTGGTGTGGCTGCTGACGTGCGAGGCGGGTGAGAGCGCCCGCTAGGGAGAGGGATGCCCGCCGCTGATCGCCAGGCCTGGCCAGGCGTGCCGTGCTGGAGTGTTTTTTGGGAGGGGGGCGCTGGGAGAGGCGCCGCACAGCCGCGGGCCCAGGGCGCACACCCTCCTTGCTCACCCCCCCCCCCATCCCCTCTTCCCGGGCCCTGCCCTGCCCACGTGCGTGCAGTCCCCACCGAGGCCGAGTGCCAGCAGGTGGAGGGCCTGCTGGCTGGGTGCGGCGCCGACATGGCGGCCTGGTCCTACGTCAAGCGCATGCGCCGCCTCAACCTCACCGGCAAGCAGCAGCCCGGCAGCGCCTCTGTGGCCGACGGCCTGTCCGGCTTTGGCGGCGCGGCGCAGAGCCAGCTGACCAACCTGCTGGGCACCACCTTTGGCCAGGGGCTCAGCTCGCTGACCAAGGGTGGGTATGGGGGGCGGGGAGGGCAGGGGTGGAGCGGGGGGATCCGTGGGGCGGCGGGGGGGGTGCGGTGGGCAGGCAGGCGGATGCGTGTGCTGCCTCGTGAGCGCAGGGCTGCACCGCCAGGCACGCGCTGCACCCCAGGTGTCGCGGCCGTCGCTTCGCTGTGGCCCCTGAGGCCCCCTGCTTTGCCCCCCACCCCACCCCACCTGCAGGCGTCAAGAACTTGCTAGCGGGGGAGCAGCAGGCTGCCGTGACTGTGGCTGTGGAGGCGCTGATGGATGGCAAGCCCAACCCAGACACAGACGCCTACGCCACCTTTGACCCCAAGGCAAGCGGGGGTGGGGGTGGGTGGCGGGCAGCTGCATGGGGCAGGCGGGTGGCTCGCTTGGGGGCCAGTGGCCGGCGTGGGCGGTGCGTGGCACGGCAAGCGCCCGCCCCCTTTGAATGGCTGGCTCACCGGCCCGCGCGCCGCTCTGCCCCGCTCCCTGCAGCTGCCTGCGGGTCGTGCGCAGCGCCCCGCGGGCCCCTTTAAGGAGGCGCTGGTGTTCATGGTGGGGGGTGGCAACTACCTGGAGTATGAGAGCCTGAGGTGGGTGGCGCCCTGGTGTGGCGCCCTGGTGGCGGGGGAGGGGAGTGGGGAGGTGGGTGGCGCCCTGGTGTGGCGGCGTGGTTGTGGGGGAGGGCGGTGGGGATGATTGGGGAGGACGGCGTGCTTGGTCGAGGCTGCCCCTGCGCATGCTGTAGCGCGGCGCATCGAGCCTGCCCGTGCGTCGTCGCCCCCTGCCCATGCGCCACCTCCCGCCGCCCTGCGCCCCCGCCCCGTCCCCCGCAGCTGCTGGGCCAGCCGCTCGCAGCCTGCGGCCAAGCACATTGTGTACGGGGCCACAGACTTGATGGCTGGGGAGGCCTTCCTGGGCACGCTGTCCACGCTGGGATACAAGAGCGGCGCGGCGCCCGCGCCGCAGTAGCGCCGCAGGAGCTCCTCCCTGACCTGCTCACCCCGCCGCCTGGCTGGCCTCTTTCGCTCGCTCGCCTCCCTTGCTCCTCGCTGCCCTTGCCCTTGCCTGCTCCGCTGACCTCTGATCTCCCGTTGACAACTGATTATCCCTCTCACACAGCACACGCAACCGCACTTGGATCCTGTGACACCGGCACCCTCCTGCCCCCTCTCCACCCACGCCCGCCTCTCAGTCAGCCCCTCCATCCACCCCATCTGCCCCAGCCTCAGCCTCAGCCCAGCTCCAGCTCCAGCCTCATACCACCCCAGCTCAGGCGTACTCAGGGGGCAGCACCCCTTGCTCCACCAGCTGCAGGGCAGGGAGGGCATGAGGGCGGGCATGAGGGGGAGCGGAGTCGGCGCCGCCAGCGCTTCGCATCTGTGGCCGACTGATTTGGGGCGGCATTGCCATGGGCCCAGGCAGCCCATGCGTGCAGGTGGTGGGCATGCTGGCTGCCAGTGGTGAACGCAAGGCAGGCCTGCTCGTGTCTGTGCCTGCCCCCAGGCGCTCAGCCGCTCATGCACCTCCCCAACCTCCACCCCGCAGCCCACCCACCTTGCGCTGCTGGGCGCGGATGCTTTCCTCAAACGCCAGCAGGCTCTCCCACGACCACTCCTCACCCTCCCGCCCGCCGCCGCCGCCACCGCCGCCCGCGGGCGCGACGTCGGCATGCAGGCCAGAGGACGGGCCCGCCCCTGGGCGCCTGCAGCGCTCGCTGCCAGCCGTGCCAGCGAGCCCGCTGGCTGCGCCGCGGGTGCATCCGGCCCCGAACTGGTGCGTGGTGTGCCGCTGCGCCTGCTGCTGCCGCTGCGCCTGCTGCCCCTGCTGGCAACGGCCGGCAGGGCCCCCCGCCCCCGGCCGGCCGCTGGCGCCGGCGCCGCCGCCGCTGCCGCCACCAGTTGCGGCGGCGGCCGAGGTGAGCTGTGAGCACTTGTGGGTGATGCGCTCCAGCTCCTGCAGCAGCTGCTGGAAGGAGGCCTCCCGACGCCGCACCTCACCGCTCAGGAGCTGCAGGTCGGCGGCTGGCACCGCCGCCAGCCCCGCCCCTGCCGCGGATGGCGCCAGCGCGACATCCACATCCACCCGCAGAGGCGAGGCTGGCTGCAGGGCCGCCCGCTGCGCCCCGCTCCAGGCACCTGCCTCTGCCGGGCCGGCCTGCGGCCGCCAGGCCTTGATGGGGGACCCAACGCCGCTGCTGCCGGCGGTGGGTGAGCTGGCGCCTGCCCTGACGCTCCAGCTGCCGCCACGGCCTGCCGGCACCGACACAGACAGCTTGGTGGCGGCCAGAGTCGTGGGAGCATCTCTGAGGCCGCCGCTGGCATGCGGTACCGCCTGGGAGGCTGGCTCGGCCGGCGGTGCAGCCGCGCCAGCCGACAGCCGGGGGTCCGCCGTCTGCCTGGCGGCAGGCGGTGCGGTTGTGTGGCGCGCCTGCCCCTTGTGCTGCTGCACTACAGTCACGCTACTGGTGCCCCCTGCGCTGCCGCCGCCGCCGCTGGCTCCGCTGCGGCGCGGCGAGCTTGCCGCCACCACCGGAGTGTCCTGGCAGCAGCCGCAGCAGTGGGCCTGCGGGGAGGATACCACCACCACATCCGTGCCCTCTCCCGCCGCCACCTGCACTGTGTGCGTGGTCCTGGCGCCGCCGCCTGTGGTGCCGTCCATGCCGGCGCCAGCACGCCTCATGCTGCTCTCTGACCCCCTCCCCGTGATGCCAGCCTCTGTCGCGCCGCTGGCGCTGCTCCGCCAGCCCACGGCACCGTCCTGGCAGTGCCCGATGAGGGCCGGTGCCGGCGCCGCCGACCGCGGCCGGGGAGCCGCTGCCTCCCGCTCCTCGTCCCGCCACGGGCTGCTTGCAGCACGCCTCCAGCTGCTGCCGGCGGCGCCGCTGATCACGTGTGTGCCGGTGGCGCCACGGGGCGAGCGGGGGCAGCCACAGCCGCGCAGGCCCGCCGCGGCCGCCCGCTCGGCGGCGCGCTCCGCAGCGCTGGGCGCCGACTTGGGGCGAGGCTTGTTCCCAAACTTGTGCTGCAGCGGGCCCGGGGGGCGGAAGGCGGGCCTCCCGGCCCCGCTGCCGCTCAGGCCGTAGCCTCCCATGCCGTCCCGCCCTTGAGGCACATCCTCCTGCTCCTCCTCTGTGCCCAGCTGGTGTGCCCGCGGGCTGTGCACCAGCACCAGCACCTCCTGCCGACCCGCGCCCGCCGTGCCGCCTCCTGCGCTGCCACACCGCTCGCTGCTAGTCACCGCCAGGCGCAGGGCGCCGTCACTGGTACCATTCCCGCTGCTGTCGCCGCCGCGGGTCACAGCCACCGACAGGCCAGCCCCCTCCACCTCTGCCGCCGCCAGGACATCACCGCAGTAGCGCCACCCCGGTGCGGGCACCGCGCCGATTGGCCTGCCCGCGCCGCTGCCGCCGCCTCCGCCTCCACCCACCAGGCTATCGTCCCAAGCCCAGCGCTTGCAGGCGCCTCCCGTCGGGCTGGCTGCCGCCTGGCCGCAGCTTGGGTGTGTGTGCGCCTGCGGCTTTGCGGGCGCGGGCGTGAAGTGGTGCGGCGCGGCGTGGCGCTGCGGCGACTGGCGCGGCGACGGCGCCAGCTGGCGGGGCCTGGCCGCGGGGTCGGTGGCGGGTGCCAGCCTGCGCAGCAGGGTCAGCCTGTCGAGCAGGTCCACAGCCGGCATGCTCGGGGGCTGGCGCTGGGGGTAGCAGTCCTGGAGGGGGCTGCAGGTGGCGGTACGCGTGTACAGCAGCGTTCGGCTGCCGCCGGGCGAGGCTGGCGCGCTGCTGCTGCCTCTGGCACCGCTGGTGGAGGAGCAGAAGGTAAAGGCTTGCAGCAGGCGGCCCCTGCTGGTCATGCTGCCGGCGGCGGCGGCTACGGCGCTGGTGCAGGCGGGTGGCGCGCCGGTGGGCGGCGGGTGGGGCATCTGGTAGTGTGTGGTGGGCAGCAGCGTGTCGGCGCTGGTGTAAGCATACGCGGTGGGCACGCGGCCGTAGCCTGCAGGCGGGGGGTGTGGGGTCTGGGTGTGGGGTGAGCAGGCGGGGCAATGTGGGAGCAACACGGCCCCACACCAGCATGTGGGTGCACCCAGGGCTGCGAGAGTGTGTTTTTAGAGCGGCCCCCAACCCCCCCCATGCCGCACCCCGGCTGATGGCGGAGCCCAGCTGGTAGCCTGCTCCGCCAGCTCCAGCCGCGGCGCCGGCGCTGGCGGGGCGCGCCAGCCCGCTGCGCACGGCTTGAAAGTACACGGTGGGGTGCTCGGGAAGCAGGCGGGGGTCTGCGTTGAGCGGCATGTAGCTGCGCAAGGGGAGGGCGGCGGGTGCTTCGGCGGTCAGCGGCATGTCGCAATGTCGGCGGCCCGGCCCCACTGTGGCCAGGGCTCTCAAGCGCGTGGCCTTTTGCCCTGCCTTCTTCAGTGCTCTGCCCAATGTTTGCAAACGCTGATAAGGCGCAAAACGCCCCTCGACAAGTCGCACCTTGGACAACCCTCGCCAGCGCCCGCGGCTCGAGGCCTGACCTCGGTGGCATCCTCCTGCAGGTGGCGGCGCCGCGAGGGAGAGCGTGGCCCCCTTTTGCCGCCCTCCGCGCCCGCGCCCAACCACCTATTGACGCCCGGCACGGTGTTGAAGCTTCCCATTGGGAGCTTGCAGGCAATTTGGGCACGAGGGGAGGGATATTTAGCCCTCTGGCAGCCAATTGGGCCATGTAGAAAGCGGGCAACCGCCGTTTCGCCGTGCTGGCGTCTCGGAGCTGCTCCCGCTGGATTGAATTTTCAAGCAATGCCTCCAAAGGACGCCAAGGTGGACATGGTCGGGCTGCTGGGGCACCTTGCCACTCGCATGTTGGCATGGCCCCCACTCATCTCTGTCCCTGCCTGCCGTCGCTGCAGAAAAAGAAGGCCAAGAAGGCGCCCGAGTACCAGACGGCGGAGGCCGACCTGAAACCGTTTGGCGTGAAGGTGCCCTTTGCCGCCTGCCCCACCCGCCCAACCGCCTGTCGCGGCGTGTCCACTCATTCCCTTGACCAACAAGCCACCATGCGTGCAGGCCGGCCAGCTGGTGCAAAATGCGTTGGGATGCACCGGCAGTGTGCTTGGGTTGAGAGCTGCGGCGGGGGGCGGGCCTCCGCAGCTCTGGGCACGGTTTGCCGGAGGGCTGGAGGCGCCGCTGGAGGCGGAGGGGTGAGGCGGGGTACTGCGGGCTGCCGTGCTGGCTCACTGCCCCTGCTGCTGTCCTCTCCATCCCACCCAGCCCACCAGCCCCTCCCTCCTGCATCACCGCAGATTCCACCCATGCGCCGCCGCGGAGCAGCTACGCAGCGACATTGAGCAGCGGCGGCGGGAGCAGGCGGCGCTGGATGCCAAGTGGTGAGCGCGGTGGGGCGCCCGGCTACGCCTGGCTGAGCACAATCGGGCGCACACTCGACGCATAAGGGTGTCTCTCCCCTCCCACGCTGCAGGCAGGCATACAATGCTGAACAGGCGCGTAAGGAGGCCGAAGCCGCCAAGGCGGCAGCGCGGAGGAAGAAGAAGAAGGCTGCTGCGGCTGCGGCGGGCGGGGAGGAGCAGCCGCAGGGCGAGCAGCAGCAGCAGCAGGCGGGCGGCAGCTGAGACGCCAGGTGGCTGCCGCTACTGGAGGGCGTCGGCACACGGCAGCCTCCCCATTGCGCGACACACCGGCACTCTGCTGGCAACGCCTGGACTGGCTGCCTGCTCCTGTGTTGCTGCCAGAAAGCTGTGCCCAGCCACCGCGGACGCGACTTGCCGCTAGCGCACCAGTTTTGTCTGTACTTACAGTAGTGGGAGCAAGGGTGGTTGCGTGTAAGTGTCTAAAGCTACGGGGGGGCCTGGCGCTGCACAGACACAGCCGTGCTGCCGCCGAGTCGCCCCCAGCCTGCCTGCCAGCAGCGCAGTGCTGCGCTGCGCTGGCTGGCCAGGCGCCGCGGTGTGGCAGGGGCGCGGGCTGCTGGCCGCCGCCCGCGCCCCGGCTGCATGCCTCCTCCTCCTCCTCAGTTCCGCGGCTTCTCCTTCTTGTTGCGGAACAGCGCCAGCAGGGACACGCCAGACACCTTCACCACCTTGAACCGCACACCGGGGATATCACCCACAGCGTGGCCGCGGCGACCAAAACCGGCGATGAGGACCTCGTCCTGCGCGGCGGGGAGGGGGCGGGCAGGCAGCGCTGAGCGTCAGCACGGTGCCAAGGAAGCGTGTTATGGCGAGCCATGCCAGAGCAGCAGGCTGCCTGTGGTGCACCGCACACGCCCTGCTGTATGCCGCTCCTGCCACATGCTGCCAGCTCCTCCGCTCCCCGTGCGCTGGCTGCACCGCAGGGCCCCCTCCACGGCTGGTGCTCATGCTGATGCAGCGTGTCCCAACCGCAGCCGCTTCACACGTCCTTGCCCAGCTTCTGGCTGCCATGCCGCCTCCCCAGTGCGCCGCATCCAACAAAGGGCCAGCGTGCTGGGCTAGCTGCTACCATGCTGGAGCGTCCGCCCCCTTGCCTGTGCTGCTGCTGCTGCTTCCCTTGCCCCTGCTGCTGCATCCCCTGGCCTCTGCCGAAGGCGCCACGCGCCCAGGCAGCGCACGGCAGAGCACGGCAGCACAGGCAGCGGCATGTGACATGGGGCAGCAGCGGTGCGGTGCGGGGCACCCACGTTCTCCTCGATGAAGTTCAGGCAGCCGTCGTTGGGCACAAAGGCCGCAATCTTCTTGCCGTTCTTGATCAGCTGCACGCGCGCGCACTTGCGGATGGCGGAGTTGGGCTGCTTGGCCTCAATGCCGCTGCAGCACGGGCAAAGGCGGGCGCGGGGGGCCGGGGACAGGGGTCAGCAAGCTGCACAGAGCTGTGGGGTCGGCTGAACCTGTGGCGAACGTGCGGCCGCTGCTCCCCAATTCCACAACGCTGCACGGAGGCAACACCGCGTTGACTCTATCGTGTCTGCGGTTCCCTGCCACCTCGCTCCTGCGCTGCACCCTACAGCTGCGGCTCAAGTTTCCACTGCTGCGTGCCAGCAGCCTGCCGCCCGCTGCGCCTCCGCCCAACATGCCGCCGCCCCGCCTGCCCCCGGCTTGCCGCGGGCTCCGCAGCTGCGCTCACATCTTCTCCAGCACGATGCCCTTGGCGTGGGAGGCGCCGGCGAACGGCTTCTTCCACTCAGACCCCAGATGGCTCTTCTTGTAGTCCTTGTCAGCCCACTTCTCGTCCTTGCGGTGCAGCCGCAGCTTGCGGCCAGCTCCCATGCCGCGTGTCTTACCTGCAGGCACGGCATGCGGGTCAGGAGAGGCAGCAGAGGCGGGGCAGAAGTGCATTGCAGGGCGATCGGGCTAAGGCCCGCTCGCTCCTCCACAGCGCTGCAGGGACATAGGTGCGCCCGCCAGGTCGCTGCCAGGGGCCGCCGGGGGCCCAGCTGCCGGGCTGCCCATGTGCATCGCTGCTGCACCCGGCTCACCCATGTTGCTGCGTTTTCAGCTCCCACCCGCAAACACAGCCTCGCAGAAGAGGCATGGGCAGGCGGGGTGAGGGCTCTTGGGGGCTCCCTGGGTCGGTGCCAGCGAGGCACAATGGGGTTGTGGGCTCCCTCCTGCACCGCAAGTCAATCGTGTTGGGGAGGATGCACACATGCAAGAGCCGGTGCATGCTGGGGTTGGCAGGGTTCTGGCGCCTCCACATTGCACGGCGCGCCATTGGTTTCTGACAGCCCAATGTTTCTGGAATAGCCCTCCTCTCTCTGCTTCATGCACGGGGGGCGCGTCAAGACGCAGCCATTCCGTCATGGGGATGCGGAGAGACTGAGGCTGAGCGCCGCATGGCGGCGGCGGCGGCGCCACGGCCGTATTGGTTTACAGTCGTTACATGTTCGGAATGTTGCCAAGCCAAGTGGGTCAGGTGGGGGCCTGCACGTGCAGGTACATGCCACACACTCCATGTCCCATCCAGTCCATGCGCACCAGCATGCGGCCACCCATCCCCCAGCGCGTGCCGTACGAGTTCTGCACCAGCCAGGTCGGCGGCGCGCTGGTGGTGTCGTACCCCACAATGGTCTGCAGGGCAGAGCAGCAGTGTGGCGGGGCGGGGTGGGGACGGGAGGATGAGATGGGAGGGAGCTGGGCTCGAGCTGGCGGTGCAAGGCACCAACATGCCGACGCACCATCACATGGTCTGGGTCTCCTCCGCAGCTGGCCGCAGCCGGGGCAAAGACGCCGCCCGCATACTGCCTGAACTGGCTGCTCTCCGAGGCCATCACAAACACCACGGGCCCCTGGGCCACAGCCTGCACCGGCCACAGGTTGCGGCAGGCAGCGGCGGCACTCTCAGCCCTGCTCAGCAATGCTGCGAGCCCTCGATTCCTGTGCGGTTACCGGGCCTTGGCATGCCGGCAAGCAGCGGCCCACCCGGCCACACCCACCTCCAGCAGCGCGGTGACGTTGGTGGCGGCGGGGATGGCGCGGCTGCCGGGAGCCGCCGCGGGGCGCAGCCGCTGCTCCTCGGGCACCGCCAGGACCTGCTTGGCCTGGCAGGTTTGCAGCTGGCAGGCCTGGTAGGGGTAGGCGGCCTCCGGCACACACCCCGCCTCGTGTGCGTACTCAAATGCGTCGGCCAGCGACAGCGAGCCCAGGCAGGTGGCGGTGCTCCCGCCCACGGTGTGGGTGCAGTCTGCATGGCAGGGTTGGGGGCGGGGGGACGCTGGCGTTCAGCGACTCGACACCTGTGGGCATCGCAGCAAGCCTTGCCAGGGTAGCAGGCACCCAGCCTGCCTGGGCATGCACGCAGGCAAGTCGGCAGCTCCCCCCCCTGCCCGCCACTGCATGCACCCTGCACCCTGCACTCCTTGCTGACTGCTCACCGCCCAGCTGCTGCACCGACACGCGCGACTCCTCCACAGTCGCCGGCGCCGTCTGGTTGCCGCGGATGAGCCAGGCGGCCTCGATGGCGGTGGCGGCGGCATGGGCCCAGCAGTCGGAGCTGCGCTGGTGGCGCACCGGCGGCACCCTGCCCACCGCCACCCAATCCACGACGGCAGGCAGGCCCGCCAGGGGCAGGATGGGGGGCCTGGGGCCACTGGCGGCGGAGTGGGGCGTCGCCTTCAGAAAGCCGTCGGGGTGCTGCCGCGCAAACTGGGCCGGCGTGAGGTCGGCAAAGGCATTAAGCTCCACCTGCGGGGGCCAGCGCCGGCGCATGAGCGTGGGCAGTTGAGCAGCGGGCGTCTGGCGGGCTGGCAGGCGCCTGGAGACTGCTTCCCCTTTCTGTCACCCGCAGCCACGGCTGCCCAGGCACCCACCCACGAGGTGGTCCAGTGCTGCCCCAGGTTGTGATCAATCACGGCCCGCAGACTATCCAGCCACAGTCCGTAGCGTCGGCTGGCCTGCAGGCACGCCAGCGTGCATGGAAGGCGGTTCAATCAGCTGCTGCTGCAGGGCAATGCGGGTCTGGCTACCCCAAGGCTGGGTGTTCACCTCAGCAGAAGACTGGTAGCGGCGGCCGTGGATTTTGGCCCAGGCTTGGAAGCTGGCTCGTAATGTGCGCTCTGCGGCAGGCTTGTCTGTCTGCAGGGGTGAGATGGAGTGGAGCACTTCAATGTGTGGCACATGGCGGGGGCAAGGGGGGGCAGGCCGTCGGCAGCGCCACGAGGGTCTCACAGACCTGTTTGAGCAAGGCGTCATAGGTTCTCGACCAGCGCAGCGCTTCTAAGCGAGTCCGCAAGTCGAAGGGGTTGTCCGGGGTGGAGGCCACCACTCGGGCCAGCAGCAGGCAGAGGCAAACCAGCGACGCCCCCATTTCTTTTGCAACTAAGTGAGAGGAAGGCGGGTTTTAGGTACGCGTGAGGCTGATATCGCCTGCATCCGCGACGCGTTGGCCGAATGGTCGCCCAGCAGACACAGCACAGCGTGCGGGACGCGACAGCAGGCGTGGGTGCTTTGTTCAGGCCAGCTGCATGTTACCAGATGCGGCACAGTGAAAGGGACACGGGAGGCAGCTGATTCATGGCCAGGCACCGCACACCACTTGGCAAGTCTGGACGGTCTGGAGCCCGACCCTGCACCAGGCACTTGTACAAGCACAATGCGCGCACTTCCTGTGTTCTGTGCTTTTACCCAGACTCTTGCACAAATTCTTGATGCCATGTTGCGCATCAGCTCTGCAGTGCCCAGCTGACTGGCGGCGTCGGCGTCATGCGGCCCCGCCCCAGCACACGCAGCGGCCGCCACCTGGGACTAGCTTTGTTTCTTGGCGCGCCAGGCACGCTCATGCATATCGAGCTGCAGCGCAGCCATCCAGTCTCCCCCACGCTGCAGATGCTTCTGCGTTGCCTACGGCCCATGCTTCTGTGCTGCCCGGCATTGCCACGTCCCCCCGTTCTGGTCTCCATCGCCGCTACCAGCCTGCGCTGCCTGCTGCCCGGAAGGTCAGGACACCGCTGAAGCAGGCGGAGCGGGGTCTGCCGCCGCCGGTCACCGGCCTGCCGCCTGCCGCCGCCACCCTGTTTGCTGCCACCTGACGAGAGACTCTCGCCACGTGCAGGGTTGCCAGCAGCAGCCTCTTAACCCGAACGCTACCAGCGGCGCAGCACTCTTTCAAGCCCCAGCCTCGCCGCCTACTGGGGGCAGGCGCAGGAGCGGGCGGAGACGCGCCCGCAGCGGCGCCTCTGGAGCAGCAGGCGCCACAGGGGCCCAGCACGATGCAGCCCGCAGCCAAGAAGCCGCGGGTGGATGGGATGGATGGGAAGGGGAAGGACGGCGCCAATGGCGGCGGCAACGCCGAACCGCATCCTCCCCAGCAGCAGCAGCAGCAGCAGCAGCGGAAGAAGCAGAGGCCGTTGACGCCTGAGAAGCAGGTGGCGGCAGCTGCCAGCTCCCGGCTCTCTGGGGGCTGCCCGTCTGCCGCTCCGCTGCCTTTATCTCCCCTACCGCCCGGCCCGCCACTCGCCACCACTCCATTTCCCGCTCGGCTCTCCCACCAACCCACGTTGTTGGCGCCTGCACCCCTGCCCCTGCCGCAGGCACGCGCCGCCATCCACATGGCCGCTAAAGCCAATGACCTCCCCGCCGCCCTGGCTGTGTTTGACCGCGCCAAGGCGGAGGGCGTGAAGCTGGGCACGGAGCTGTACGTCAGCCTGCTGTACCTGTGCAGCGGCGGCGACGCCTGGGAGCAGCAGCTGCGCCAGGCGCGCCCGCCGCCGCCGGCGCAGCAGGGCGCACGGGGCGCGGAGCGGCACGACGCCGGTGCCGGAGCTGCCGCGGGCGAGCAGGGGCAGGCCGCGGCGGGGAGCGGCGACGCGGTGGCGGCGGCGGCGGCGGGCGCCGGCGCCGAGCTTCAGCAGCAGGCGCAGCAGGCGCAGGAGGCGCAAGAGGCGCCGTGCGCGGAGCAGCTGGACGGCGCGGCGCGGCGGGCGCGGGCGCAGCAGCTGTTTGAGGAGATGCGGCAATCTGGCGGGCGGCTGGCCCTCAATGAGATGTGCTACACGGCGCAGGCGCGGCTGGCGGCGGCAGACGGCGACGCCGACCGAGCCTTTGCTGTGGCGCAGGCGAGCCGCGCGGCCCCCTCGCCGCCGCTGCCGCCTGTGTGTGCTGGCTGCCGCCTGTGTGTGCTGGCTGCCGCCTGTGCTGCCTGCACGGCGCTCCCGGCTGGCCCTGCTGCTGGGCAGGCGGAGCCGACCCTGGCCCTGCTGCCCGGCCCCGCCCCGCCCTCCCTGCTGCCCGCGCCTCCTGCAGGAGATGGTGGCGGCGGGTGTGGCGCCCAAGCTGCGCAGCTTCACGCCGGCGCTCATCGCGTACGCAGAGGCGGGGGAGTGCGCCAAGGCGTTTGAGGGTGGGCGGGCGGCGCTGCGCTGTGTGCGTGTGTGTGTGTGTGCGTGTGTGGTGTGTGTCTGTGCATGCGTGTGTGTGGAGGGGTGGGCAGGGCGCGGCGGGGCGACATCATTGTGCTCTATCCCGCACCCCGGCGCGTCGCTGGCCGCGCCAAAGGGTCTCCCTCCCCGCCCGCTGGCCCATCTCACCTGCCACGCCCACACCCGCCCACTGAGCCTGGCTGCCCCTGGCTTCCCTGCCCCCCCTGCAGTCGATGCCGCCATTGCCGCCCACCAGCTTGACCTGGGGGAGCCCGAGTTTGGTCGGCTGGTGCAGGCGGCGGCGGCGGGCGCCAGCTGGGCAGCCGCGCTGGGCGTGCTGCGCCGCATCGGCGCCGAGCTCACCACGTTGCAGCCCGCCAGCCTGGCGCGCGTCGCCGCCCTGTTCGCCTCCCCCACCGCGGCACGCGCGTTTGAGGGCGTCCCCGGCGGCGGGCGGTGGGAGGTGGGGCCTGCCGCCGTGGACGGCGCGGGGCGCTGCTCGCGCTGCGGAGGCCGCCTGGCGGCGCTGGATCTGTCTGGCGAGGAGCTGCGCCAGTTTGCGCAGGGCATCGCCGCCATCGCGGAGCGCCAGGAGCGGCGCCCCAACGACTTCAAGCAGGTGCCGCAGGCGGCTGCCTGCTGCCGCTGCTGCTGTCTGGTGCCTGCTCCTGCTGCTGCCGCTTTTGCTGCTGCTGCGTTTCGCTGGCGTGCGTGTGCGTGTCGTGGCGGTGGGGGCTGTGTGTGCGAGTGTGCAATAATGTGCGAGTGTGACAGTGTGCGAGTGCGTGCCTCTCGTGACCCACAGCCCCGCCACAGCCCACCTCTCCCCCCCTGGCGGTCTGCCCACCGCTGAGACCGTGCTGTAGCTGCCGCGACGCGCAACCACCATCCCGCCGCAACCAAACTTCAAATGAAGCCGATGGCCCGGCTTGGGGGTGCTGGATATCGAGCGAGGGACGCAGGCAAAACAAAAGATGGCACCGGGGCTGCAATGCGCAGCCACAGCTGCGACCTAAAATACCACCTGCGGCGTACACTGCTGGCGCGTGGCCGCCGAGGGAGCTGGCCCCGCTGCCATGCATTCATGCCTTTTTGAATGGAACACTGTCGTGCACACTTGCCAGCCAACCAATTGGGCCATTGCTATATTGCAACTTTACCTCGCCCAGAGTGAGGCTTCCACCAAGGTCGGCCGCCAACGACAGTGCTCGCTGCCCCGTCAACGCTTCAGCGCAGGTGGCGCAAGCTTGTAGGCGACAAGCTTGTGCTTGCGGGCTTGCCGGCAACTGCATCCTGCGTCGGCAGTCAAACATCAATGTTTGCCCGTGGCGGGCCACATGCCAAGCGCTGGCGGTGCCGGGCAGGGCCAAGGGAAGGCAGATGATGATTGCTCACGCACTTCCATATTCCACTGCCACGCAGTCGAATTCGCCACGCTTGTCCACAGCTGCAAAGCAGTACCGAGTGCAGTACACTTAAGATGCGCTCCACTAGCTCGTTCAGGACAGCACCCGCCAGTGCAATGTTCTCCCAGACGCAGACGTCAGCAGCGGCCTGGCCAGCCCGCCACATGCCCTGGGCTCCACCGCTCCTGGGCTCGCCCGAGTGGCCTTTCGCTGCGCGCTTCAACCTC